AGGGGGATATCATTGTAGTCAGTTTCACTTTCCCCTGGGGTGGCTGGAGTTTCCAACTCCTCCAGGCATGGAGGAGCAAACTCAATGACTTCCAAACCTTTCAGGGCTGTTTTGCAATGTTTTACTGGCTGCTTCTCGGCGTTTTTCCCTCCAGCCAAGGTTGGGTTTGGGCCAGGTTTAGAGAAGCAATTGGCAGCCTGGTGACTCTCCTTCCCACATCTGAAACATGCCATCGACCTGGGCTTAGTTGCTGGCCCCCCTTTTGCCACTTTAAAGGCCTCTTTTGAAGCTGAGGAGGGTTTTTTGCTCCAACTGCTGCCTCCATGGTGTCGGTTTCTGGCCAGATCAATTTCCACATCCACAGCCATCACATACCAGCACTGAAGGTCTCAGGAAACTCCTTGGGTAACACAGAACTGGTAAACATCATTGTTAAGGCCATCTTTGTAACTTTCCACCAGAGCTTCCTGGGACCATCCCTGCATATGGCCAGCCAGCTCACGAAATTCCTGTGTGTATTCTGTCACTGATTTATGACCCTGGATTAAAGATTTCAATCTGGACCTCGCCTTCCAATCAGCCAGGGGGGTCTTCAAAGCATGTCCTTAGGGCCATCATAAACCCATCATAATCTCTCAGCTATGGGGAATCATCGTTGTGGAGGGTCGCCATCCATTCAGCTGTTGCACCCTCCAATGCCATGGTAATATATCTCACTTTTGTAGCTTCTGATGCAAAATCTTCCCCATACTCCTGCATGTAGTTCCAGACTTGAGCTAAGAAAAATCCCAGCATTTTGGGGTGCCCTCCATATTTTAAACCCAGCAGAGGAATATTTGGGAATCCACGCCTTCGTGGGGCTAATCCTCTAGAGAGGGCTGGACTGCAGCCGCAGCTGGACCTCCGGCCACTGTACTGGTCCTGGTTGAACTTCCAGGGCCAATTCTGGGTGAGCCGGGGCTTCAGCTCCCCCTTCTGCCTGCTCAGCTCTCCCACACGCTGGTACCTTTCAAGCATTTCCACGCACTTTCTTGTAGGAGGTGTAAATTTTAGGTCAGCAAGAGGTCTTCTTTGTTGACTTCCTGCCTAAGAGCCTCTTCAAGCCAGCGCTGGGTGGCTGTAACTCCCAGGGGAATCTTCTCCAGAACATCCATCCGTTCCATTCCGCCATTTGGGCCGGACCGGTTTCTCCTCGAGTTTCAGTTCATCCACTCCATTTCTTCCCAGAGAGCCAGGAGAGCAGTGGATTCAGCAGTGGATATGAACGGATAGCAACAAAAATAAAGCAAGATCTGAGGCTATTGAATAAAAGGGAAGCGGGGGAACCCTTGCAGGGCAGAGCTGAGGACTATGCCCAATTCTTAGCGGACAAAATTGCTCGGTTTCGGTCGGACTTGGACTCCATCCCCGCAGCTCCAGCCGAGGCACAGGGGGATCAAGTAGAACAGCTCTGGGTTGAGTTTCAGGATGTTACCCCCGGGGATGTGGACAAGGCCATGAGAGCTGTAAGTGCCNCAAGAGAAGTTCTTCAATTCGGCAACAAAAAATCCAGCCAAGGCTGACGAAGTCGGGGCGGCTCCAAAATGGAAGGATACAGAAAGAGAAGGTGAACAGGAAGAATATGTCTTGCTGGCCTCAGGGACATCGCAAAGTTCCTGATAGAAGCAAGAGAAGTTCTTCAAGCCGGCGACAAAAAATCCATCCAAGGCTGACGAAGTCGGGGCGGCTCCAAAATGGAAGGATACAGAAAGAGAAAATGTTTCCATCTGTTTCAAAAGACTTGCATAAATTCCATCCAGGAATATAGCATATAAAAAGTAAAATAACCACTGTGCAAAACCATTCCAATTTTAATTCCGCCGCTTGATTCTTCTGTTCTCCAATTTGAGTTAATTTTAAGTTTTTTATAGGCAGTCTCTTTTTAAAACAGTAAAAGTTCCTCACCAGCTTGAAACATTTTCTCTTTCTGTATCCTTCCATTTTGGAGCCGCCCCGACTTCGTCAGCCTTGGCTGGATTTTTTGTTGCCGGCTTGAAGAACTTCTCTTGCTCATATTAGGGACTTTGCGATGTCCCTGAGGTCAGCAAGACGTATTCTCCATGTTCACCATCTCTGCGGGATGGTTTAGGTCCAATTGGACCACCCAGCGGCAAAAGTATAGGCTGTGGTCTCGGAGTATCGAGACCGCATGTCCATATCATCTCGACGTTGGCTCCTCCTCCAATATTCATGCTTTCTTTATAAAGTTTCTAGTCTTCAGAAGCGTTGCAAGTTTCTCAGGAAGGGCTTTTTGATTGCTGAGAACAATCCCTTATGGCTGAGTTCATCAGGCAGGGATGAAATAACCATTTGAAACGCTTAGCACTTGGAAGTTGCATCAATGATACAGAACAACTGAAATACTGCAGGAATGCATTCTGGCCTAGTCTCCTTTTGTTAGACCCATGCACGCTTCTGGATTGTTATGGCTATGGTTTTGCAGGAGTGACACATGATTGGGCCCATGCTTTGGTGAGTTCATCTGACAAGCAATGCCATCTGATGGAGTCTTGGAAGTATGTCTTCTGAATTGTGGCACCTCTGTAACAGCACCTCTGTATACTATCTGTATCAGCAAGTGACCTACTAAATGACTACAACAACCTTTTGAGAGCTGTACGCAGTGAAATTTCATTTTAATGTATGCTAATTAGTGTACAATCAAAGTGACAATAAAGTTATTCTAAATCTAATCTACAACCAAAATTCGGGGTTTAATTCTAGTTGTAAGTCGAGGACTATCTGTATGTCTAGTCCCCCTGTTATAATCATGTTTCCTTTTTCTGATTTAATGTACCAAGCTTCTGTTTCTAATTTATATGCCATCCAAAGTCACTCTTGGATTGTCTTATATTATACATTTTAAATTATAAACAATGAAACACACTCAGCAATAGAGCTCATAGCCTCATTGGGATATGCAGACCCATCACTATTAAAAGATAAAAGGTAAAGGTTTAACCTGTCCAGTCATGTCTGATTCCAGGAGATAGTACTTATCTCCGTTTCTTAGCTGAGGGAACCAGCATTGTCCGAAGACACTTCCATGGTCAGTGACTACCTTGACTATATGCTGAGGCTGTTACCTTCCCATCAAAGTGGTAGCAATAGCAATAGCACTTAGACTTATATTCCACTTCACAGCCTTCTCTAAGGGGTTTAAAGAGTCATCATATTGCCTTCAACAATCTGGCTCCTCATTTTACCGACCTTGGAAGGATGGAAGACTGAGTTAACCTTGAATTGGGGAGACTCACCACCATGGTACCTATTTATCTACTCACATTTGCATGCTTTCGAACTGCTAGATTGGCAGGAGTTGGGGCAAGTAACTGGGAGCTCACCCCCATCACACAGCACTCATGTCTTGAACCCGGGCTATCAACTTTCCAGCTGACAAGCTCAGTATCTTTAAACGTGCCCCCATATTACAAGATACCAATTTATAATTGAGGTTGTATGCATGTAGGCTGCATTTATCTAGAAATGCTTACTCAATGTGGAGGTCATCATTTAAGTTCTCCAGAGTTAATTTCAATTTTCAGTATGTCAGGGATAAAACGGATGATTTGAGGGAGGTTTGGCTACTATAGTTTCAAAATTCAGGGCATAAGACTTCACCTCTCCTTTCCTCTGATGGCCAACATACCCAAACTTTATGTGGCAACAAAGAGGGAGGGAATCCTATTTTACCAGTGACCTGAGGCTATAAGGTTACAGCTTGAAACAACTGTGAAATTAATTTAAAAGGGAAAATCAAAAGATAAAGCCTTTTAAAGGAGAGATTATATAACTCATAACTTCTATAATGAGTTTTTTTCATAACTTCTATAATGAGTTTCACTGTTTTCTAAATTTGCCTTCTTAGATTTTTCTTTGATTTTATATCTTTTATTTAGTCTCATATGTTTATGGAAAGACAGGTGGATAAAAACAAACTTTATCCATTATCAGATCAACTTGATTCAGTCTGCCTGAGTGAAATGTGAGTGGTGTGTGTGTGTTATGTAAACTTCTGTTTTGCATTTATGTGTGAATATCTCATTTTGGATTTCAAGGTAGTGTTCAATAATTTTTTTAAATGCAATTTTTTGTTAAAAAGAAATACAAAACTTATTTTAGAATGGCAGATTAAATAGATAAAAACCAGGAACATATTTTTGTTAGCTGCCATGAATTGAAACATGCTACCAGTTAATCAAGTAGTTTCCTGTGCCAAAATATGCAGGATGTATTCAGTAGAGATGCCGGAGGAGGAACTAAATTACTAAAAGCCACAGTGAGAGATATCTGACTTCTCTGTGTACACGTGATTTTCATCCACCTGCAGAAAATAACTCTTGTAACATATTGTAGAATGTTTTTACAATATTTCACACTTGTTATATAGTGTATTTCATAAGTCAGTATATGATTTTTTTGTCAATATAATCAGTGTTTAGCTTTGGAGATTTATATTACTGATTGCCACCCAAGAAACTTATCTTTTCACTTACTCCTGTTATTGTGACCTACCCAAACTTAGTAGATACATGAAAAAACTTCAGAAAAATCAGCAGATGGGCAGAATTGGATTTAATCCTTGTTAATAGTATCAGTGATAATTCAATGTACGTAAATAACTTCACATATTCTCATATCAACCTGTACAAAAAGCAAGTCTATTTATGTATTTCAGATAATAGCCCATGTCTAATTTTAATTAAGGATTTTTTTTCCTCTTCCTTTTGCCCGTGTTTATGTGTGAAGTATTTTTCCTGCATATTTTCATAAAATCATTTTGTCTTCTCTTTAACTGCATGTTTAGTGGGCTTTATTCCTGAAAAATGGCAATTTTGTAATGGGACTGTACTGAAAATAACTTTTCTGTCTGAACATGAAAATTAAAATGAAATATTATTTTAAAATGCTTTCATGTTACCACTTCATGAACCTCCCTTCCCTCTCCCCCTTTATTACAGAATCTGGTCTTTTTGGTGTTCCACTCTTGGTTTTGCTAGAATATGATCAAAAGAGAATTCCAGGTATCCGGACACCATTTATCTTTCAAAAAGTGAGTAGGCTGACTGATGTCCTTTCATTCTACTTCCTTGAGCTTTGGGATTGAGTCCTGAAAGATACTGTTTTTTTTTTAAAAAAAAAGATAATTTATAATCTAGCAAAATAATTTTTACTACGCATGACATCTTTTTATGTTCAATGCCTTGATAAAATTCTTTCTTCTCTCTGTTGATCAGTGGGCAGGTTAAACAAGTTGTTCTTAACTTCTTTTCACACAATCATCAAATTTGTAATACAAATAATTGTGTCTTATCTGAGAATGATTTCTCCAGAATTTTGCAGAATAAACCAAGATCACATGCATATTGCTTAACTTTCGTAGCACAAAAACAGTGGCGAAAAATGGGGGATTAAATAGCAAAAGGAAATTATGGAGAAAGGGACCTGTGTCCAGTTTAGGTTACTGCATCAATTGTAGCCCTACTTGGGTGTCCTGGTGATGATAACACAACTATGTGATTAGATTACTGCAATGTACTCTTATAGAACAATTGTTGGGGGAAATTTCAGAAGTTGCAATTGGTCCAGAATGCAGCTATTAGATTGCTAAGTCTCACTATCTCACCACTGCAGAGTCACAGTGATTTTCATGCCACTTGCCTGAACTACTTATTATCAGTCAACTTCCAGGCCCAATTCAAACTTGGCTGCTACTACAAAGCCATACATGGTCTAGTACCAGGTTACATCATACACTGCCTTACCTTAGTTCTTTTGGATATCTCAATGGGCCTATTGACAATCCTATTTCCCTGGAATTATAGGGATCTTGGGCAAATTAGGATCTTCTATCTTGGCCTCCATGTTTTGCCGTATGTTTTCCCTGGAGGTGTGTATGGCAATAATACATTCCTCAAGGCAATGAAAACATCCCCGTTTCATTATGCATTTGGCAGTAGCTGATTGACTCTGGCAGGTATAAATGAAATAAAGAAGAACTTTGTAAACTGGCATGAAGTTAGATGCAATATCCAGAACTAATGTAAGCTGTGCAATACTCTTGCTGTCTCTGTGTAAATATTTTACTTTTACATGATAACATCTACCCTGGACTAATTCCTAAAGATAAAAATTCTGCACTTAAGCCATCATTAGCAAGAAGCCTCATGGAGCAGACCTGTTGTGCACTTGGCTAAATGCATTTGATTGGGCATTTAGGAACTGTAAATTCTCTTCTGCATATAAAAGATTTTTCATTGATTAATATCTATGCAAACAGATCTCTCCTCCATCCCAATAAATTATTTTACCTGAGTCAGGAATGGGAAAGAGGCCAGAGCAGAAAGCAGGAGATGAATTTCAGAAAATCAATAAATAAAGTCCATATTCCGTGATGTAAGGTGGATGAGGTATATTTAGCTGTTCTCCAAATTGATTCTGGATAAACGTCACTTTATGTCCATGTGTTACAATAGTAGTTGTCTCTTTTTAGCCTAAAGACATCCTGTAGTTGTGGTACTGCAAAAAAAAATGTGCATGAAACAAGGGAGGCATATCGTCCCTTTGGAACGAGCTCCCTGTGGAGATTCGTACCCTCTCCACCGTCCAGGCCTTCCGCACAGCCCTTAAGAACTGGCTAGCCCGTCAGGCCTGGGGATAAGGATAGCCGCCCCTCCCGAATGATGAATGTATGTTGCTTACTATTTTATTATATGTCTCTATGTCAATGTCTGTATTCCCCCTCCCTGATTTTATGTGAGCCGCCCTGAGTCCCCTCAGGGAAAAGGGCGGCCTACAAATATTAATAAAATCTCAAATCTCAAATCTCAAATTGTTATGATAGTACCAATCTTTTTACTGTTTCATGATACGTCTGCTTTCTGTTCTCATTTCTATGTTCAGCTCATTTCTCAGATAGAAGGGGGAAAGCTGGAAACAGAAGGATTGCTTCGAATACCAGGAGTTGCTGCTAGGGTGAAGGTAAAATGGCCCTTCAGCTTAGGAAAAATGGTGCTGTTTGCCTTACCAGTGTTTTGTTCTTTGTTTATATTTGATAATGTGTGCTCAGTAGCAAGTCTCAAACTCAGAAGTTTAAATAAAATTGTAACTTCTACTTATTCGTTTTAAATGACATAGCAGAAGTGGGTAGAAGCTACAGAGCAGATTGTCTGCTTGTCAAAATTTATTTTATGACTTTCAGAACTGACTTGTTCAAAACTATAGATTTTATATGCAAATCAAGACTATACACCCACATTCACACACACATGCACACTCAAACGCACACTCAAACGCACACATACAGATATATAAAATTACTGGAATTAAATTAAAGAGTGGCGCTGAAGAAATCATTCCCTGTCATTTTTACTCAGATGTTGTCCTCTGTATGGTTGCTTTCTCCCTGGGTACAAGAGTTTTGTGCAGTTGTTTTATATTACTGCTTTTCTAATTAACTTCATTCTCTATCATATTTTGAAACTGATTTTATTTCTGTAGCTTTCGAATATTCATAAAATGTGAATTATAAAGCAAAAGCTGCAGATTGGACAAGTAGTTTATGCAATTTAAAAATACATGCACAATCTAAGGAGGTGAAATATGGATTCTTGTTGACCTGGCAAATGGCAAGACATGAAATGTGCATTTTATGAACTGGTTTGGGGGAGGATCAGCAAGTGGCTTTGAGACAACATATTAAAAAAGGAGACATCAGGCAGAGGTTGCTTCTCTTAGGCTCCCCGAATTACATCCAAATCCCTTGTAAAATATTGTCAGAGGAGGATTTGATCTGGGATAAAGAAGACAGATAATATAATTGAGGTACTAGTCTTCATAACATAGAAAGGTGTCTTATATCAAGTTGTAGAATTGTTCCATCTTGTCCCAATGGACTACCTGTTTTGATAGTTAGGGCTTCGGGCAGGCATCTGTGCAAATGCCCTACAGGATGGAAAACTGCACTTACGGCCTTTGGTCTAAGATCAAAAGCCTTCTGCAAGACAGCTGCTAAAAGATACAGCTGCTGCTTGGAGCAGAGTGACACAAACATAAAATGAGCTTGGGCTGAAAAAGGGAATTGGAAGTCTTAGAGGAACAAACTGCTAAAAAAAAAGATAGGGACCAGCAGTATCTCCAAAAGGTGTCAAAATCTGTAATTAGGCACTTCAAAGCTGTGTCCCTGTTGTACGTGCAGTGGACTTTTGATAATGATGCTGTACTTACTATCTTGTAGATTTAAACTTCCCTTGTGTAGGTGCTGTTTTTCTGGCCCCACCCATAACTAGTTTGCAGGGTAGCCTTTCAGAAGGGTCTATAACAATTTGTCATGGCCAACTTGCTACGGCCAAGTCATCACGGTTAATTCGCCACAGCCAACTCACCACAGGACAATTCGCTGTGGGACAAGAGTTACACTAATATCAAATAAATGGTGGAGTAGAATCATTAAAGAAAGACAAAAATTAGAATATTTTTATTTATTTTGAATAATTAAATTGAATTGTTAAATTGTCCTGCGGCTAGTTAGCCATGGCAAGTTGGCCCATTCTGCTTCCAAGTTTTAAGAGAATGCAGCCTGTTCTAGAGTAGTACCAAAATCCATCCACAGTCTTTTTAATTATTTGAAATTTTAAGAAAGGAATTCAGAAGCATCCACCATAATTGATTTTAAAATTTAAAACATAGTGTATGTGTGTTTTGTTGTTGTTGTTGTTGTTGTTGTTAACTAAAAGGATTTTTGGACAACCGCTTCCTCTTATGAACACTATTACTGTGAAGAGAAAACACACATGAACTATGGTTAAAAGTAAGTAATAAGTAGGTAAATCTTTATTACGGTCAAAGACCAGCAATACACATTAGTTTTTATACTACGTTAAAAAATACTGTCATTAAGATATAATTAAAAGGTATTGACGTTAAAAATGGAAAATAACATACATGTTCTCAGATTGTTCGGGTCACTCCCTGGATTACCTGGGTGCAACACTGTTAAGTATAGGAGTAAATACAATGGTCCAAAGATTGTAGAGATATGTCCAGATAATTGGTACAAGATAACAACTATATTTCTGTAGCCATTTTTTTCTTATGGACATTACAGTAGCACAGAACTTTGCCAC